CACGTACAGCAACTAGAAGGATGTGCAGCTATGACATACAACTATCTACTGGGGCTTTGGGGGGAAAAATAAATAAATAAATAAAATTATAAAAACAAACAAAAAAATCTGTGTGAAGGCTTTGGAGAGCTGTGGAGGAAACGAGAACTCAAGGGGCCAAAATCCAAGAGAGAAAGGAACCACCAGAGGTGTCCAGACATTCTGAGAGCCACATTTGCCCCCAGCGCATTTGCTGATGCTTAGCCTGAGGTGTGAGGCTGAGAATCATGGCAGAGGACCTGAACAGACACTTCACAAAAATAGATATTCTAGTGGATGATAAACATTTGAAAAGGTACTCAAATCACTGGCAACAGGAAAATTCAATTTAAAACCAGAGGAGATATCACTATGCATCTACACACAATAAAGTTAAAAAAAAAAAGACAACACCAAGGGCTGACAAGGATCTGGAACAACAGGAATTCTCATACAATGCAAATAGGAGGGCAAGTCATAGCACCACTTTGGAAAATTGTTTGACGGTATCTCCTACAGCTAAATACAGTCATGTGCAGCATAACGATGTTTTGGTCAACAATGGACTGCATATACGCTGGTGGTCCCATAAGATTAGTACCACAGAGCCTAGGTATGTAGTAGGCTATACCATCTAAGTCAGCGTAAGTACACTCTATGATGTTCACATAATGATGAGATCGCCTAATGATGCATTTCTCAGAATGTAGCCCAGTCATTAAGCAACATATGACTGTATATGCATAACCTAGGATCCAACAATTACACTTGTAGGTATATATGCAAGAAAAAAGTCTACGTATGTTCAACAAAAGACATGTACAAGAATGTTCCCAACGGCATTACTTGTTAAAGCCCCAAACTAGAAACAAAACACATATCCATCAATAATACGATGAATAAGCATACTTTGGTATAGTCACACAACGGAATACTAAACTGGAGTGAAAAAGAATAAATTACTGCTATATGTAACAACATGAATGAAAGTTGGGTGAAAAAAAGGCTAAACACAAAAGAGTCCTGTGATATGATTCCATTTCATATAAAGTTCACAAAGAGGAAAAGGCGACAGAGCTCAGTCAGAATTGTGATTACCTTTGTAACGGGGTTAATGGCTGAGAAGGGGCATGAGGGAGCCTGCTGGAGCACTGTTAATACTCTATATCTTGATGTGGAAAGTAGTTAAGTGGGTATGCTCGCTTTGTAAAAATTCATACAGCGTACAGTTATGTTTTGTGTGCTAATTCATTAGACACAGTGGCAAATTGTGGATGTCCACTAATACCCATTCTCCTCTTCGTTATACAATAGTATAGCCATGTTACACAACATCTGAGCACCATTTCTATAGACTCAATGTGAAAGGTGCCCTGAGGAGGAGTTGTGCAAAGTGGTAACTCTGAATACAGCTCTCCAATTTTACCTGTGCATGAGGTTGTTTAGATAGAGATCGCATTTCTCAGATTCTCTTGTAGCTCAACATCATTATGTAACTAAGTTCTGGCCAATGGGATGTAAGCAGAAATAAAAGTGCCATTTCTAGGTCTTTCCAGTAAGAAGTCTGGTTGTGCACTCCCCTGGCTCTTTCCTCCCTTCCTAAGGACTGGAAAATGGCCAAGTGGAAAAAGCTGCCTTGGGCCCCGAGATGGAAGCCAGGTGTTGAGGATGGCAGAGTCACCCTATCAGGTCTACACACCTTTGTCTGGACTGGTACGTGAGAAAGAAATAAGCATCTAGCTGGTCTGAGCCACTGATTTAAGGGGTCTCTTTGTTAAGCTTAGATGGTACCCTAACTAATATAGGCATCAAGGCATGATGTTGAATGTAGTTATGGTTTGAAAACTGTACTTTTAGTGTTTGATATTTGTCACAAACAATAGTATTTAATTGCTTTGCTGTCAGTCTGCATACAACCTAGAGAACTCTAGAGAAAAGTACAGTACACGGGAAAGAGCATTTTCTCGTGAGGAAGCTGCTTTAGAGTATCCTTCTAATTCTGCCTCTAGTGATATAGGACTTGGCTCTTTCTACCTATAAAATATTAAGGTGTCTGGATGTCCCCAAGGATCTTGTCCATGTCTAACATTCTTCGACTTTCCTAAAAAGAAGTAATGACCTTCATGCAATTATAGTTGGCTGGAGGCAACAGCGGGAAAAGGTCTGTGCCCTCCTTGTACACATGACTTGAAGGAAGCGTTTTCAAATATGGAGAACAATGCTTTTCATTATGTCAACTGCTTGTAAAAGTAAGTCACAATAAATTGTGCATTTTCCAGGTGCTCCTTTTAGTTGTCCCAGAATCAATGAGCACCAAATATGAACAACAAAGAAAAGAGCATCTTTAAAATATGAAGCATTAATGACCCACAGAGCATCAAGGTATATTGGATTAATGTAGCCAAACAGAAATAAAGAGAAGAGAAGGATTATTTCAACAGATAGATATGTTCTGGATGCTGAATCAAAGGAAACAAAATGGATCCTTTTCTTTCTGAATCCTTCAAGGGGCTCTTGGTTGACATACGGCCTAAGAGCGGAGTTTGTGTTTATTTGAAAGGAAGACATTTGTGATATTTTGTGAGATAATGAATGATGTGGCTAGTACACAAGCGACTTATTAAAACAATCGTCCCTACTTGACATGGTTTAACAATATAAAAGTTATCCTACCTGGGGGTTTTTAAATACAGCATATTTTTCCTCTTTCTCCACAAATAGCACTTTATTTTCTGTGTCTCTTGTCCAGTCTGATAAGACTTCAACAACATTTTCATGGTCTTCAAAAAACCTTTCTGAGGAAACAAGAACAAGCCTTCTTTCAGACCCAAGACGTCAGGGTTTCCATCAGAGAAATGAGCTAGTATTGAGTTAAACACAATGCTTCATACTTCTCATTGGTTTTTAGAAATTCCTAATCCTCACATGATGTCACACTGTAACATTTCTATCATATTTATTCTTCAGTGTCAGGTCTTCAACTTATTTTCCATAAAAAGCATGGCAGATGAACTTACAATATAGTGATAATGGTCAGCCATTGTCCTTTTATCATATTAGCATTTCTGACTTTAAATACTCCCAGGTAGAGGTAAGCATCCTATCAGTAAAGAGGATAATTAGGCAATGATTGGTTAAACAATTTTGAATGAAGTTGAGAATTTGAATGAAACTGAGAACTGCGATCAATACTCTAAAACTCTAAAAACAATGTATGACTATTTGACCCAAACCTAAACATCAAGGAAGGCTTTCATTTCTCTGTTTGACTCAGAGAGTTAAAGAAAACTTCAAGAGGTTATTGCAGTGTAGATCATTTCCTCCAGAAAAAATATTTTGCCTAAAGCTTATAAAACAGGCCATTCTATATTCCACACGCTCTCCTGGGAGAAGACGGTTCTGTGAGTGTTATTAAGAATGAGATGTAACAGAGTACTTCTTTAATTGCTTTTTCTCTTTTTTCACTCCATCAATTTCTACCAACTGTCCTTTGTTCTTTGGGGCTGAGCCTCTGCAACTAGACAAAGTATCAGATGTTAGGCAAGTGGGGAGGGAGGAAGGGAAAATGAACATTGATGTAAGGCACAGTTACACTATAGCTTAAAGAAGTAAATTCTAAAGAGATATTTGCTGACAGATACCAGGCCCTGTGACAATCTGCTCAACTTACTAAGCATCGGGTAAGAAGTATCATCTTGTCACTTTCTTCCCCTTATGGAACCACTAGAGAAGTGGCAATAATAACACTTACAACCCCCAAGGTGGAGCCATCTGCTACAATCCGAGTCTCTTCCCCACAAACAAATGAAGAGGCAAGCACTGAATAGGACAGAAGGGAAGTGACGTATGGGTAGTCTTCATAGCCCTGAACCAAACTCTTCTTAATAATAGACCAAAACCCATAACAAAGCAAATCTACAGGTTTTTGGAGTACAGCCTACTGCTGGGAATGAGACTTACCGATTTGTAGTTCCGAGTATATTTCATAAAGACACCAGTCTATATTGCAGTCGCAATGGGTTTTCTCAAAGAGGTTGTCTAGAACATCTCGGGCCAATTGCCGCTCATCCACCATCAGTGACTTCGAGCTGTTATCATTCATGTGCACCTTGACAACGAGCTGAGGAGAAAGCCACAGAGCAGCCAGTAAATTTCAGCAACTGGAGAAGGCCACTAAGATTAAGGTTTCAAAGTTGCTATTGTTTCTGCAAATTTAAGTAAGAATGTGTCCCACGAACTCACTCAGTATGATTCACTTGTTGAAGGTGCTAGGAATACAGAGGTGGAGAAACCAATGCACAAAAACAGAAACACACAATAAACAAAGTCTTTGCCCAGCCTTCAGATATTTTGCATTCTGGCGGAGGAGACAGAAAACAAACAGAACCACAGAGGTGCTGACTTCCTGCTTTCCTGACATCTTTCCGGTACTTGTTTTGGTTCATCCAGGAGCCATGCCCATTGAAAGCCACGCCTGTATCTTTCTAATAAATTCTTCTCTTTCGCTTAGCTGGAGTTGAGTCACATTTCATGCAACCCAAGAGTTCTAAGACACAGGTCAGACCACACTACCATTCTTTGAAGGTGCGGAGTGCACAGTGACACAACGTCACTGAGGGGCCTTATTAAGAGGTAGGCTGCATCACAGCAGAACACATTTGAGATCTGAGGTGGATTAAGTGAAATGAAAGCAGACTGAGAAACAAGCTACTATGGAGGCATGCAGGCAAATTAGTGATCTAATTGACTTTTCATTCTATTTGTAAATATTCTACTGCACTGAGTTCACAGTCAAATTGGTAGTTATCTCATTGCAAATCTGGAGGGTTTGGTGGGAGCAGAATTTACTCATTTTCAATGAGGACATAGGATATTGTTGGCTTTTCCCAGATCAACTTGTCAAAGTTATTAAAACTTCTGATCCCCCAAGAGAGATCATGATTCTGATGCAATATAGCAGAATTAATTCATGAAGTAACGCAGCTAGGATTTTCTTTGACACCTGTGTATTTGTAGTTTTTTTTTTTTTTTTGGTGAGGAAGAGCGGCCCTGAGCTAACACCTGTTGCCAATCTTCCTCTTTTTGCTCGAGGAAGAGTGGCCCTGAGCTAACAGCTGTGCCAATCTTCCTTTATTTTGTATGTGGGATGCTGACACAGCATGGCTTGATGAGTGGTGTAGGTCTGTGCCCAGGATCCGAACCCATGAACCCAGGCTGCCAAAGCAAAGTGCCCCAAACTTAACCACTATGCCACCAAGCCAGACCCTGTAGCATATTTTTAATTACAGTAATTGCTATTTACGAGTGCTACAGGTTATAATGGTGCCATGTACCCAGTCTTCCAAAGGAACAGTGGAAATTTGCCCACTAAGCCTAGTTTATTACACAGGTATGTTTAAGGGAAGATTTCCCACAAATCCTTCTGGGAGGCTCTGTGGTCTTATTTTATTCTTTACCAAGATCACTGATCCTACCCAATTAAGTGGAAATTAGCTCTAGTCAGAGTCAATCAAGTTAGAGTCTTTCTTTGAGTGCAACACAGGAAGGAAGTGCTTAGATCAGAGCGATGCTGCCATTCCCTTTCCAGACAATCACTGCCTGACCTCCAGCCTGCGGTACCTGCTCACGCAACTACTCCATGCACAACCAACAGAGGATTCCCGGAAACAACACTGTCAACCAGACCACCTGATACTCTTGCCTAAATTTCTATTCTAACTTGAGAAGAGAAGTGTGAGACAGCTAAAGACAAGTTCTGCCTATTCTGTTTGCCTAGGGTTGGTCCTGGTTACTGACAAATGAGACTGAATCATTATCTAAAAAGTAATTAGATGGACTGGAGAGAGAACCCATACAATTGGCAGCATTTCTTTTTCCCCCAAAATTCGAGTTAGGTTCTGAGCAGCTGGGAAACTGCTCCTTCCGTCTCACTTCCACCTAATCTGGTCTTGAAACATTCTGTAGCTAACAGAGTGAAGAGTGCAGTTCCAGTGGGTTGTTACGCAGTTACTGACAGCAACCAGAGGGTGCGGGAGGTGATAAAAATCTGGGTGAGGAGCAGGCAAGGACCACAAGTTGAAGCATTCACATAGTGCAGAGTCTCTTCATAACACATGACACCCAAGGGTCAAAATGGAGACTTCAGGGCAGTAAACATTGCATTTCCTCCTCCTGGGATCATCAAATTAGACTCTTATTCCAGGCTTGTCAGAAGAATACTTTTTTCCCTTGAAAATCTGTAGCTCAGAAACGTCTAGTTGGAAATTTGCTTTCTTTTCATATGTTTGTCTTTTGCTGTATTTAAAATGATAGGCCCGGGTACCACAGTGTCAGAGATACATTCATCTGCCCTGAGAAATGAGGCACGGAGGGTTGTATGAAAAAACAGAAATTCCTCAAATAGCTCTTTACTATGTCCTATTTTCTATGGATGGCATACCTGCTGCTTTCTGCTGAGAATTATTGCTATAAAGTAGCTACATGTCCTAAGAAACACTGCCAACGTTAGGACTTCGAAGACTTAATCTTCCTGATGGAAAAATTAATGATGTTTGGCCACGTTTCATTCCTGCTTAGGAATTCTTGAGGAAGTAAAACAAATGCTGGTGGTTTTTTTGTTTCTATAGAGGGAATAAAAACTGAACCACATAATTTGACAATGATGAAAGGTTTGTTGTTTTTTTTGTTTTTTTGGCAGAAATTGAAAACTAAATTTAATCCACATGTAGTTATGAATGTCCACATTTATAACATTTAGAAAAGAAAAAAACCAAGAGAAGGCTTGTGATTTTTAGCAAGAAGAAATCATATTTACTCTTCTTCACAGTTTCCATCACATTTGCAAGTTGAAGAGTAGCTCTCTACCAACACATAACACAGCTAAATTACAGTTGTGTGGTTCAGCCAGTTAAACATTTTGCATATCTAAATATATGCATATCTATATGCATAGATTTGCATATCTATATGATTTATGGTAAAACGATTCAAGAATGAAGAAAATTCCTCTTTCTAATCCATTACAGTAAAGATTTCATAGTTTCTATAGTTTCTTCTTTTTCTTTTGCAGGCTGTTAAATATGAGAATATCCTAGCCCTAAATCAATTACATTTTTTTTTGCTTCTACAATAAAATTTACAAATGGAATTGTTCTCCTGTGTCACAGAGCTTTAAAACAAACAAACAAACAAATAAAATTAACAAGTAAGTCTAATTATTTTTTCAGTTCCAAAAGCTTTGTATCACAAGCTGTGTACATCATTCCTAATCCAAAATGATGTCAACACCCCATGGAATACTTGAGGGCAAAGTACTTCAGATTTCCATCTTTTTGAAAAACGTGTTATAGATTACATACGAGTACTTCTTAGTTACTTTATTAATGTACGAGTACGTCTTAATTATTTTCTTAACATTCTGCGCCACACAGCCTTTTGTTTTAAGAAATAATGTTTGGAGTGTCTGAAATCAGAACAAATAAGCAACTTGGCTTCTTAATTTTCTTTCCTTTCCCACTGATTGGAGTGGCTTCTGTTTTGCATCTTCTTTCTTGAATCAAGGCAGGTTGTGCTTTGTGTCTACCGTTACAATTCACCCCAACTGAATTACGGCAGAGTCTCCCACTTTCTGATACGCAGCAGGAAACAGCTGCCGTTTGCTCCCTGTTATTGTCATCTCCAGTTGAAGCAAACAGGCTGAATGTGCTAGTTGTTCTACCTTATCTAAGAATCAACTTCTCTTTTTCTTTTCCCTCTGAAAATATATTCAACTTGGCTCTTGGCTCCCATTTTATAAACAGTCCTGTGGTTTAAAATAGTTTAATTACGAATTTAATTTTTACTCATTTTCTTTTGCCTTTTTATCTCCAAAGGTAAAGTCAGCGGCTCAGTACAGCCCATCTTCACCTGCCATCCATTTGTAACTCAATTCAACACACACAGTTTATCTGCCATCAGGTATTGTGGGAGCGAGGGCAGCAGAACAGGTCACCCTGCTCTCATCACTTCCCCTACAAGACATTTTCTACAAAACAGCTAGCATGATCTTTAAAAACCATAAATTATCCACTGTTAAAAAACCCTCAAATGGCTTCCCAATGCGCTTATAATATATTCCCAACTCCTCCTCTGGCCGGTGAGACCTTGTGTCTGGGCCTGCCTCTCTGACCTCAGCTCCTCCTCTTTTCCCTCTCACTCAATGGCTCACTGAGCAATGGCTACACAGCCTCTGCCCAGGACTCTCCCCGACTATGCCCATAGGAAGGCAGCTTCCTCTTGCTGCTGAGGTCTTTGCTCAAGTGCTGCCTCCTCAGAGAAGCCTCCGATCACCAGGTCAATCTAAGAATCGCTCACGCATTTTCTATCGCTTCTTCCTGCTTTATTTTCTTCATGGCCCTTATCTCTCCCACTAGAATTTAACTCTAACACAAGCAGGGACCTTACCTGACATATTCACCTCTGTACCTCCCTAACACATGTTCTACACATGTTCTATGAGATGGGGATGCATCAGTGAAGAAAACACAAAAACGCCTGGAGGAGCTTCTGTGGCAATGGGAGGCGGGGGGATGTAGGTAATAAATATGATGAACAAGTGAAGTGGACGGTATGTTGCATGGTGACAAGCACTGAGGAGACAAAGCAAGCAGAGAAGGGTGGGGAGTATCGGGAGTGTGTGTGCACTGTCAGACAGGGAAGCCTCACTGAGCCTCACTAAGTGACCAGACCTAGAGGAGGGACACAGAGAACCCACTGGAATCTGGGGAAGAGTTCTCAAGTCAGGGGGACCGCAAAGTACAAAGGTCCCAAGGCAAGAGCCTGCCTGGAACTTTTGAGGAGCAGTGGTGAGACCAGGTAGTTAGATGAGGTGGTGAGGGGGAAAGAGGAGGGAGATAGCAGGCAGCCAGATCACACAGGGCTTTAGGCTGTGGGGAATCTAAATTGGCCACCTCAAAATATGTCTCTTTGCCTTGATTATTTTCAAGAACAAAAGACTCTGAAAGAAACTCTGACCTCCTCCTCACTAACTGCCTAAAAGAAATTTAAGATAACTCTGGGTATTGATAGACTGGGTGGGTCCTTGCTAAGCCCACTCTTATCAAAGTTCTGTTTACCAAGCATCTGCTTTTCCATCTCCATGTGAATTGCCTTCCTCCCATTTGAAGTCCCAAACCACTACCCCCAACACCCTCCTTTGTCTTTAGCTGAAGATGGTATTTAAGATGATGGCCTCTACCATTTTGGCGAGTTACTCAGGTTTCCTGGGTCTCTCTCATGTATACATGTTATAAAGCTTTGTTAGATTTTCTCCTGTTATTCTGTCTCATGTGAATTTGATTTATAGCCCAGCCAGAAGGACCAAGAGGGTAGAGGATTTGTTCTTCCTCCCCTACAAGGTCGTTGTGAGGATTTGGGCTTTACTATGTGAGATGGGGCGCCACTGGGGGCTTCTGAGCAGAGGATGGACAAGAAGAGAGGAGGGGAACTGGAGCACACGAGGAGAGGCTGGTCTTTGGAACATGCCAGTTCATCTGTAGTAACAGGAAAGACTATGGATGATCTGTCACAGGTGCAGGCGGGCAGGTAGGTAAGTGTGTTGGGAGCTTGTGGAACCTTTCTGTTGACTGCTTCCATTTTCTCAGTGCAGTGGGCAGCAACATCATTAGCTGAGAGGATGTGGATGAGGAAAGAGATACTGGAGGTTTTAAAAGAGAGGACAGCAGGGCTTGTAGGCTGCCTCAGGGAATACGAAAAATGCACAAAAGCAATGGTGCAAATGCTGAGACAGAGGTGAGGCCAATGGAAGCTGAGCTCTGACCCAGTTTAGGCCAGTCCAGAAGGTGGCACCACCTGCTATTAGCCAAGAGCTGAGCAGAACCGGAGAAGCCGTCCTCAGGGAAGGGAGCCCTGGAGGTGGTACAGACTTATTTTAAAATGTCTTAAAATAGACTTGAAAGGGCTGTTGCCTGTGTGGCAGCAGTAAAACCAACGGCCTTTTCTTTTCTTGTTGAAGGTTATAATTCTACTCCCGCTATTCGAGCTCCCAGGAAAAATCATGTGTAAACCAAAAAGAAAACCATGTACAAGCCAAGGAAACTTCCACATTTATACTAACAAAGGTCCCCTATTTATCAGTCACAAATGAGCTAACTGATGTCATAGAAAGAATAACTATATAATTTATCTTTGTCCTTAAATTAAAAAAAAATTACTACTATTTGGAAAGTACCACTCAAAATTTTAATTTTTTTATCCTTCAGCAGAATAAAATGTCATTAATTTAACTTCCCCATGCAAAAGTGATTCATGGTTTACCTTCTTAACCTTGGCCTCCTTCAGTTTTTCCAATGCTAGCTTAATTTTATCAGCCTTGGCTTGGGCCTCTTCTTCTTCCTGTAAAATGGCAAGACATTCAACGCAGTCCATTAAATAATACCAGCGAGTAAGTACCCATGCCATCGCTAGTGTCTTAGTTACTTTACGTCAACAGAAGGCTGTATTATAGGGCACCAGAATTTAAGTGACTGTAACAAAAATCTTCAACCCAGAGATACAGAAGGCAGTCACCCTTTATATCTTAAGAATAGTAACTTAAAGGATAAAATGATGACTTAATGGAGCTTCACATATTTCGTCCACAAAAATCTCTGCTTGGCTCAAAACTGGGGTCTAACCTGAGGAATCCATAGGTGGATCTCAAGGGATTCGAGCACCTTCTGAAATTATATACATTCTCTTGGATCAGTATGCAGTTTCTGGGACTCCTAGTTTTTATTCAATTCCTAAAGGGGTCGTTAACGCCCCCAAAGTTAAGTCTTAGACTTGAACTTAAATTTATAATTCACCATAAGTAGGTAGAAAAGACAGTGAAATATTTTATGAGCCCAAAGCCCTTTGATTTTTGCAATTTAATATTCTGAGAACAGGATTATTAAGGCTCTCTTATTTATACTGATGAGGAAATGAGCTGTTCTGGTTACATTCTAATTACTTGAAAGTAGACATATATCTTTTCATACCAGTGGTTCTTAAATTGTTTTTGAGCCACAAACCCCTTTAGGAATATGTTGAAGGCGATGAAGCCTATAAAGTTTCATATATGCATTCAACTGTGCTCATACTGTCAGGGAATCATGGCCTCCTTGACATCTTCACGAACCCTATGTTGAGAGCCTTTGCTTGTCAGAATGGCTATTATCCAAAAGACAAGAGATAACAAGCGCTGGTGTAAAGGGAACACTTGTGCACTCTTGGTGGGAAGGTAAATTGGTGAAGCCACTATGGAAAACAGTATGCAAGTTCTTCAAAAAATTAAAAATAGAACTACCAGATGATCCAGCAATCCCACTTCTGGATACTTATCCAAAGGAAATGAAATCACTGTTTTGAAGAGATCTGCACTCCCATGTTCACTGTAGTATTATTTACAATAGCCAAGACATGGAAACAAGCTAAGTGTCCATTGATGGATGAATGGATAAAGAAAATGTGGTATATATATACAATGGAATATTATTCATTCATGAGAAAGAAGGAAATCCTGTCATTGTGACAATATGGATGAACTTTGAGGGCATTATGCTAAGTGAGATAAGTCAGACAGAGAAAGACAAATACTGTATGATCTCACTTATATGTGGAATCTAAAAAAGCTGAACTCATAGAAATAGAGAGTAGAATGGTGGTTTTCAGGGGCTGGGGGTGGGGGACATGGTGATATGTTGGTCAAAGGGTATAAACTTCCAGTTATAAGATGAATAAGTTCTGCGGATCTAATGTACAGCATGGTGATTATAGTTAACAATACTCTATTATATACTTGAAAGTTGCTAAGAGAGTAGATCTTAAATGTTCTCACCACACACACACACAAAAGGTAATTATGTGAAGTGATGGAGGTGTTAACTAACCTTATTGTGGTAATCATTTCACAATATACTTGTATCAAATCATCACATTTATACCTTAAACTTACACAATACTATATGTCAATTATATTTCAATAAAGCTGGAAAGAAAGCTTCTGCTCTCTATGGATCACAACTTTCAAATAATTTTTCTACAATATATACACAATAGAGCAATGAGTATGATTTAATATTTGATTTATATTTAATATGTGTTCATTCAAAAGGCACTGTAGGAACTTTCAGGGTTACTAGGGTCATATTTATAAATACCAGTCACCATCATATACAACAAACGTGGAAGCCACAGGAAATGGAGCGGGATTCTTACTCTAAAATATTATTAAAGTGGCTTACTCTAAGAAAAAATCCTTAAAAGTGCTGTTTTTGCTTTTATGAGAGACATATTGTAAGTTAATGTCTCAAATAACGACCGTATGAACTTTCCAGTTGTTTGTTTTCCCAGTATTCAGAAAAGTATTGATATCAATCACTCATCACCTGCCTGCCCCAAAACACTCCTCCCCAACTACGACATTACGAGGGATTGTCCTACTGAATAGGGCTGCCAAATTCAGCAAAATTCCATTTAGTTCAATTCAGAAATATGTAAGGAATGCCTTCTATTCATTTATGTACTGGGCTAGGACCAGGGATCCAGAAATGCATAAATCAGTTCCACAGTTCATACCAAATTAATAAAACATTACCCCCAAAAGGTTGAGTATTATCAGGGAGTGCTGCATACAAATATAGATTTCAGCCAAACTATAATAATTCCTGAATATGATATGTTCTTTTTTTTTTTTTTTTTTTGAGGAAGCTCAGCCCTGAGCTATCATCCGTGCTAATCCTCCTCTTTTTTTGCTGAGGAAGACCGGCTCTGAGCTAACATCTATTGCCAATCCTCCTCCTTTTTGTCCCCCAAAGCCCCAGTAGATAGTTGTATGTCATAGTTGCACATCCTTCTAGTTGCTGTATGTGGGACACGGCCCCAGCGTGGCCAGAGAAGCGGTGCGTCGGTGCGTGCCCGGGATCCGAACCCAGGCCGCCAGCAGCGGAGCACGCGCACTTAACCGCTAAGCCACGGGGCCGGCCCTGGTATGTTCTTTATACACACCTATGGGTCTTGTTTATGGAGGACTCTGACTTTGCAATGAACATACTCAATATCCTGGCTTTTTAGTATTTCAGAGCTTTGGGTGTACAAACTCACGAATGTAACTTTTCTTTGAACAAAGTCAAAGATCATGGATAGCAGAGGTCAAGGGTCCTGCCATCTCTGGCCCCACAAACTTACCTGAGAGAGAGGTTCAGGAGGTGGTGGCGGCAGAGGCAGGTCTAACATGGGATCAGCTGGTGGAGGCGGTAACTTGTCCTCATATTGGCTAATACTCGTTACAGCCACATTTGCTCCATAACCAAGAGAGGCTGCACCACTGAAATCTGAATCTTCCAGAGATGCCGATTGACACCGATTCTGAGAGGACTCCTTCTGTGCCTGGATTGTCCTCTGCTCAGCTTCACTTATGTCGGCTACGAGATCTGCCATGAGAGCGTCTAAATCTTGGTCTTCCAGTGCATTTAAGGACTCTGATAGGGAAAATCACATTAACGATCAAAACAATGATTTGTACCTGGAAAAACTGAAAGAAGATCAATTTTAGGGGTAATATTTGAGTACTATTTGCCAGGGACTGGGGGATTCAGGAAATAGGGAGAGGTTGGTAAAATTGTACAAACTTTCAGTTATAAGATGAATAAGGTCTGAAGATCTAATCTGGTGACTAGAATCGGTAACACTGTGTGGTATAATTGATATTTGCTGAGAGAGTAGAACTTTTTTTTTTTGTGAGGAAGATCAGCCCTGAGCTAACATCTGTGCTAATCCTCCTCTTTTTGCTGAGGAAGACTGGCTCTGAGCTAACATCTATTGCCAATCCTCCTCCTTTTTTTTTTTTCCCCAAAGCCCCAGTAGATAGTTGTAAGTCATAGTTGCACGTGCTTCTAGTTGCTGTACGTGGGACGCGGCCTCAGCATGGCCGGAGAAGCAGTGCGTCGGTGTGCGCCCGGGATCCGAACCCGGGCCGCCAGCAGCGGAGCGCACGCACTTAACCGCTAAGCCACGGGGACGGCCCCTGAGAGAGTAGAACTTAGATGCTCTCACCAAAACAAAAAGGTAAACATGTGAGGTGATGGATGTGTTAATTAACTTGATGGGGGGAATCCTTTCACAATGTATATGTATATCAAGTCATCACGTTGTACTCTTTAAATATCTTACAATTTTGTCAATTATACTTCAATAGAGCTGGAAAAAAAAAGTAACTGCCTTCTCCCTCAAATAAAGAAAAGGAGAAAAACATGTTCCTTACATTGGGGACCTCACGGACCAGCTATAAAGTCAAATCCAGCACATGAGTAGCTGCCTAAGTGGAGAATTCTTGTATATTCTGGTGCAAGATCTTAGAGTTTTAGAAAAGTAAAGGAGGGTTAGATGGTGGAAATGGATGAAAAGTTCTCCCTAGGCCTTTGGAGGGCAGACAGAGTACTACTGATAAATATATTTGGAAGAAAGTGGGTCTCAACCAACTGGGGTTTCATATGTCTTGAGACTTTGGCGTCAGGATAGAGCTTCTGTAGGCACACCACCCAACAACAGGAGCTCTCACGTTCAAAGGAAGAGCAGTTAAGGAAAAATAGCAGGAAGAAAAGCAGCAAGGGGGTTGAGGAGTAGAAAATACTTTTTTAAAATTGGGATTAGGGCCGGCCCCATGGCTTGGAGGTTAGGTGCGTGCGCTCCGCTGCTGGCGGCCCGGGGTTCGGATCCCGGGCGCGTACTGACTCACTGCTTCTCCGGCCATGCTGAGGCCGCCTCCCACATACAGCAACTAGAAGGATGTGCGGCTATGACATATAACTATCTACTGGGGCTTTGGGGGAAAAAATAAATAAATAAATAAAATTAAAATTGGGATTAAATGGTGAAGACTTCAGAAGACAATGAGCTGAGGGTTCACTTTTAAAGGAAAGGGCAGACATGGATTTTCAGAGTGAGGGTGCGGGAGGGCAGCTCACATGAGAATCTCTTCTATGTGTGAGATTACTGCGGAGGTCAGATGTGTGATCCTGAAAGCTGATTAAACTGTGTGGTGGTCAGTGTGGTGTCGGTTAGTAGTGCTGGTAGAATGCTTTGATGATCAGGCATTCGTTGGATGGCAAATGTAATGAACAAAGGATGGGCAGGAGGGAAGTGACGACGAGGAAGAGAATTCTAGCTGCTATGTGTAGGATGAACCGGACGGAGGAAATGGCAGCAGTGGAGGTGAGGTCTACTCACTAACAAATAAGCATCCAGCTTTGTGAAATAATGTATTGCTAACATCATCATCATAAACACCATGTAGCATATTATATTAATGCTAATAGTTCTAGTGTGTAGCACTTGGACTAAAATTTGAATCTCCTGTGTAAAAAGGGCTTATTTTCTTGTACGCCATTTTGCATAAAACATCTTCATAAAATTAAGTTAAATTTATTTAAAAATTTTCGAGGAAATACATGTAGAACTAATGAAGCATGTTCATTATTTCCTAATGTTATCAATGACATTGTGACTGTTGACATATAATAAAAATGACTTTAATCCTTTATAAAAAATTTTAGGGACAAAATTCCCACAGTAATACTTATATTAATAATTTCCAAAGCAAATGATAATCCTAAATATAGCAAGATGGAATTGAATAATATGAAATTGGAGAATAAAATATAAATGGATTCTGTTCTGAAGTTTGTCATTAACTCTCTGAATGACTTTGGGTGAAATATTTTTAACTCATTTAGCAACGTTTTAAGTGCAGACAGTAAAAAATCTATTCCTATTCTAATTCTCAACAAATTTAGTTTTCAGTACACATCAGTACTTTCTTATGGTCTTGGCCAAATGCGAGTTGTGCCACATATGTACATCTTGCTTTCTTAATGACATGAGTTTCGTGTTGCTGTACTTGAACATTACTATGTTCATACATTGCTGAGTTTCTTTGTGTCTGTCATTTTCAGTAATTTTTTGATACTAGGTATTGAGTGCTTAGAAAGCATTAGTTGAGTTGAGTACAACTGACGTACTGATTACATTTTAATTTTAATTAAATTGATTACAGCACTCAGCTGTTATGAGTGTGGCGAGGCAAATCTGCACTGTTCATACGGGCAAGCCTGTTATCTATTAATGTCATCATTTTACAAAAGTGTATTGCTTTTTTGAAACTTCATGGATGTTACCATCATTCAATGTTATGATGATAACGACTGACAGGAATAATAAGTGTATATGGCAGATAGAAAAGAGGGTGGGAAAAGAGGAAACCAGAAGAGATATATTATAATTTATCAAGATACACACATTGGTACCTAAGGATTTATTGAAAAATTACTGAAAATGGCAGAAACAAAGAAACCCAATGAGTGACAGAAATAAAACTTGGAACTCTGGATTTCTGTAACTGGGCTCCTCTATTATTTTGTTTTTCATTCTTTTGGTAGGCACTGCAAGTCTTTGGGAAATCTTTTTCAAGAGTTGCAAAGCATTCTCACTAATTGGGAAGCAATTACTTCAAGATTTATTGTAATTTGAATAGCATATGGGCTAAAAATTGTCTCCGCAGTAAATAGAGAGATTTTTGTTAATAAAATAATGTGACAATCTCAGGGAGAAAAAACATGTCAAATAGAACAAATATATTATATATTAATTTTATATATAAATATATTGTATTTGGAAGCATCCATTCATATATTATCAATCATCATGAAAGGGATAGTTCATTATTATCCTTGAACTAACATTTCCTTATTAATATTTTCTTATACTACCGTACATTATTACTCTAAGGGCTTAGTAATAAGAAGAAACTCCCTTTACTTCTTTAAAAAATAAGATAGTTTTGAGACTTGACGCAAATGCAGGATAGTTTTCCCTTTCATTATAGGTAAAAATACCTTCTTGTCCTCTCAATTCAGTCCAGACACAAACAATCTGAAATCCAGGAGTTTAAAAATTATACTTATCATGATGTCCAGGTTCCTTTAATTTTGTTTTCAAATTATAGCTCCATACAGAGTGTAATCATCACTATGATTTCAAATGACTTAAGAAGAGAAATTATGATGCTTACCATTTAAATCCTTAAAACCCACACTAAAGTTAAATTCAGCTCTGGCAGGTTTAGGGTCCGGAGGAGGAAGAGTGTCGACTCCTAGACTCTGTGGATACAGATCCCCACCCCCAAAGTTATTTATGATACAAATGTTTTTGCAGCACATTTTAATAATTAAGTCAAAGACGATTTATTGTTTACACATTTTTGCTCTAAATATGTTCTTTAAACACCGTATGCTTACTTAAAAATGTTTTATGAGATTTCTTCCCCTACAGAAAATTTCACCTTAAAAGTTATTCTAGAAGGTACATTTGAAACAAAACAGGTCAACTGAGAACGATTAGAATGAGATAGTTAATTTTTATAAACAATAGAAAAGGTTTCCCGTAACGATGCATTTGTGACACATACACTACATATAATTTTATAAGGACGTAGGCAATGACATTAAAGAAAAGGAATGTTTAGTCACTTGGAAGACAAAAGTTGTTTCAAGACGTACTCTGCAATTATACAGTAAAATGTTATGCTGTTACTCCTATCGAATAAAACTCTTGTTAAAAAGAAATTAAGATAGAATTAGTTAACTAATTTTGTAAAACATTATTTTTTAAATTGAAAAAATGATTCTTGTATGATTTAAAAGCTATATTACATATAAATTTAAATTTTCAAAAATATTTTTATGTCTATAGTTTGAGAAGTGATTTGACCTGTTCCTAAATAAGGATGACATTTGCAGAATACCATGCAAAGTGAGTGCATTCTTTGATGTTAATTTGATTTGGTAAATAATATCTTTGTTCATGTCTTAAATTTCTGAAGGAAACCAATCATTATACATTTGAGAATAAATTAATGAGATATAATTAGTTATAAGTCCTAGAAAAAAAAAGACCATTAATCAAGAAGTTAAAAAGAATTAACCCAAGCAAGTTAGAATCAAGGATAAAATGTGGGAAAAAGTGACTACAACCCCAGAATTCATTCTATAAAACAGAATGAGCATGCAGAAACTGCCAAGAAAAGGGAAAATGGATGAACGAACTAGGGGGCAAATACCATAACAAATTTTAGTGAAAGTAGGAAGAAATTAATGAGTTCATTTTTTAACGCTATAACTAAGAAGTCGAACATCACAATTAGGGTAGCCAACTAATTTTTTCTCAGGAATGTAACTTACTATGCTATTTAAAGAAATTAGAAGTAGTTCTCTAACAAAATACTAACACATAAATGTGTGATAAAACAGGCTTCTAGCAAAATGTAGAGAGAGGGAAAAAAGAGAGAGGAAACTGATTTTAGAAAGGAGCTCTTTTAACCATAGGATAGTCATTCAAAGCTGAAAATGAAGTGAAGTATGCAGTGTTTTTCTCTATATGTCTGGTGTGGCCTGTGAAATTATTTTAGGTGGTATACAAAAACATGAACAATTAAAATTTAAATTATTGTGTATCTATTTGGACATTTATTAAGAAAAAATTAAGCTAGAATGTCTGACCTACTTTGAGATGAAGTTTAATTTTAAAAATCAACTAAAGACAAATATTCAGAAAGTAATAGGACAGGTGGGTTGCAGATAGGGCAAAAATCACAAAGGTGGTATGTGAGTGACCGAAGTTTGAGAACATTGCTCTCTACTAACTAACCTCCTTAAAAACCATATGCTTGAAAATGCATTTCATTAGAAGTTGCATAATGGTGATTTTCCAATTCTTTATTCCTTTTCAATGTTTAATTGGAATTCTTCTATAAAGAAGAACTTTCTCAGATCAACTATTTGTTTACTCTGAAGTACAGTTTGACTAGGACCATAGAAAGACTAAGATAAATGCTTGATTCTTTCCCTTTGTTTATCAATTTTCAGAGTAATAAGTTAATGCTCTGGCAATTTCCAATGGTGACCAATAAAGTAATTTTGCTTTTGTTTATTTTTGATATCATCATGAACTTACAGTTTATTTAACTTTGCCATGCAGAAATTTAAAATTTTTATATATTTAAATATTCTCTCTTTTATAGCTTATGGCTGTCGCATCTTAGGAAAGCTACCAACATCTTCAGATTGCATAAACATTTCTCTCATGTTCTCTCTCTCTATACACATATATATACATAGATATATACATATATGTCTATACACATACACATAACACACACACATATATATGTAGAGAGAGAGAAGGAATGATAATGCAAATGAGGTAACATGTTAACTAATGAGAAATCTGGGAGAAAAGTAAACGAGAGTTCTTTGTATTATTCTTTCAACTTATCTTGTTTGAAATTATTTCAAAGTCAAAAAGTTAAAATCACAATATTACATTTTAGTTCCCTATAATTTTTGCTTATTTTGGGAAATTAGAAAGCCTATGGCTAACCCACCCATCTCAACCACACCCCAGTTTCAAAGAATAGAATAGGCATAAAATTCACAGATGGGGATCAAAATGCCAGCTTTTCTAATGGCAGGGAAAATACCCAATAATCTCAAAGGGCAGTTGATAATGGCAGAATTGAAGAACAGATTTTAGACCCAAGGACAAAGTGCGGTCTTTTCTGTACCCTGAAATCTTGAGACCAACCTGTTGGGAGGACTGTATTAGCCAAGCAAGCCCTGGGACTACACCTACTTGAGCGCAATAAAGAAAGAGCAAAAACCAGAAGGGCCTTGAGTGAAGGCAGGTCCTAGACATGCGGAGGGGCCCCTTCCTACTCTTGAGTTACGATAACAATACCCAACTGTGGTTCTATGAAATCCCAGACTCTGACCAATCAGAAGTGAATGAATGGACAGAGAGACCCAGATGTTCACTCAAACCCTCCCTTTCATGGGAGGAAAGAAAGTCCCCTCATCTCTAGAGGTGGTCACCATCCCAATACTCACCTGTTCATCAACACCCCTTTTATCTAAGGCTATTGTCTCACATTTTGTCTCTTCCTTCATAGAATCTAAACTTTCTTGAATTTTATAAGGAATATAGAGTAGATGTTAGCTAAAACTGATTTATTTTTCCTAAAATAAATATTTTTAAAAAACATAGACTATTCCTCATTTATTTTCTTTATCTCAAAGAAAACTTTAAGAGCCTGTCTTATTTAGGAATATTGGATTATTCTTATTTTAATATTTTATGCAGAAAGTGATGAGCTGACTATGCTCACCTGGAGGACACTCCAGGACACGTTCAAGCTCCCCTGATTTTGTAACCTGGGTCAGGGGTGCTCAGGTCGGCAGCCCCCGGGCTCAGTCGGCCCGGCAGTGGGGTGATTTCTGAGTTAATCTGGTCTTGGTGTCGGCGGCTTTTTCTTACACCTGCAGCCTGTGGCTGAGTGGCTTTCATACTACTTTGAAAGAACTAAGTTCTAACAGTCTAATCAGAGGCCACACTAACTCCCACTTAGTCCTTTAAAATGTAGCATTTCCTCAAAGATTGGTAAAGAACCTTTACTAATGATGGTGTGATTTTCTTAGCTAGTCTTTATAGGTAACTGCAGGGGAAACTGTTCAGGGGTGGTGGTTGTGGGGCGTTTGCTTGGGAAAAATCTCTCCATTGGCTAACGAGGAACTGCCATAACAGAATGTATGTGGGACCAATGTATTCAATGAACTGAACTCAGAAGTGTATAATCACGAAAAAAGCTTTATTTTTTTCCACCCACTGTCACAGTTACATCGGGAATGGATAATATTATCAATCTCCAGTCTTTTTTTTTTTAAGATAGCTCTCTCATCATATTAAAGTCAAATTCTGTAACCCCATTTTTTTCTAATTTGACAGTTAGGAAGGAGAATTTACCTTGGTCAGAAGATCCATCTCTCCCAGCAGATTGCTGAACATTTGGTCTATATCTTCATTTGATTCACCCATCTGAAAAAGGAAGAAACCCAGACGTAAACAGTTTAATAAAAGCCTGATCTCTGGATAACTGTCCCATCTCTTTCCTTTCCCCAGGAGCCCCATCCACAGGCAAGTAAGCCGAGAAGAGAAGGCTGTGGATAGCAAGGTCCGTTTCACCCTGAAATTCCATGCCTGACCTCCCTCCAATTTGCTTGGTCCAAGATTGAACCAAACCCTAGGAACTGTCTCAGAGCGACAACTGGACTCTGCTTTTTCAGACTAAACTAGTCTCTTTGGGGCCAAGTGGACATCATTCAAGAATTCACATCACCATAGGACACCCTTATTAAAAAAGAAGAAAGCCTCATGTCAGAGAGATGTCAAACTTCACCTCCACTTAAAAACTTGCACAAAAATGATATGTCAGGAGTGAGTAAACATATTTCCCAAACGATTCCTTGCTTTACAAAGACATCTCTGAAATAGCAGCTTTCAGTACATTTATTTGAAAGCATTAGGGTGACAAACACTTAGAACTAAAATGGTCACACAATCAAGTGATAAGAGATGGAAATAAAACATATTTTACATTATAGCCTTTCTTTGCCTAAACCAAATGAGGGGACTGTCCAAGACAGGAAAAGTGTTTCCATAAAATGGGGCAGGGCTGCCTTGTGAGGCATAACTAGTTGCTCTCTTCCTGACATTTTTTGCCAAGGCTGGATGAGGAAATTAGGAGACATGATTACTCGTCCTCCTTCAGCCACTAACCAGCAGTGTGTTGTTTAGTACAGAGAATCGACTGCTTCATCTGTTAAGATGAGGAATTTACCGCAGATCATTTCTAAGGGTCCTCAATGTTCTAAAACACTAGAAGATTGTGCCAATTACAGTTCAAGCTGAGAAGTCTGGCGAGTGTAGTATCAACATGTATTATTTAAGCCAAATAATATTTACGGGTGTGTATGCCTATGTTTGTGTTTTCGTCATTTTATATGGAAATTTTTAACTATACACAAAAGTTGAGAGAATAATATAACAATTTTCATGTACCCATTGTCCAGTTTTACAATTACCAACTCATGATTGACCTTTGTTATTTAGATATCATATCTAATCTTCTCAACAGATAATTTTGAAGCAAATATTTTTTCATAAATATTTTAGTATGTAGCTCTAAAAGATAAAGTTTTTTGTTTTTGTTTTTTTACCATAACCATGACACTATTATCTTTGTACACACATGTGCTTGTGTTTGCTTTAAAATAAATTATTTGGCTAAAATAGCCAAAGTCAAGGCAGATTTTTCTTTCCTTGAATAAATTATCTTGAAAATTTATAGTTCTCCCTTTACCATAATGTCAAACTAATACTTGAGCAGTAATATCTTTCCATTTTTAATAGTTTTAGCTAACTCAGAGTTTCTGTGTCTCTTTATAAAATATGTATAGGAAAATCCTCTGTCTTATTGACTCTGCTACTTAAAACTAACCTGAATGATTTTTTTTTTTAAATTCCAATTCTTGAAAGTAAAGAGATGTAATGATGATGATGATGATAATGATGATGATGACTCTACCTAGCACTCACCACGTTCCAAGAACTGTTCTATAATCTGGGTTGCTGTTAACAGTGTGCACCCAGTATGGCACTGACACTGAGTGATCAGAAGGAATGATGGCTGTGAAAACCATTTGGAGTGCATTGGTGCATATCCTCCAAATATCCACCCTGCGAAGTTAGTGCTCCATCTTCCCAAATTATCTTCAGCAGTTATCCTGGGTTTACATCACTTAGGAAATCTTCTTGCTTAATTTTCCCATCAAATATTTTCCCCTCTGCCAATTTTAAGAAGGGAAAATGATTTCTTCCTTTATACAATTTTACCATCTTCACTGAATAGGATTGAGAGTATTTTTCATCTGAATTTCCTGCTCGCCACAATAATTCTTTCTTTGCTCTCCTTCTAGGCTCTTCCTCTAGTGAAACACAAAAGCTACTCTGAGCCACAGTTACTGAGTACATTCAATAGTCTTTTCAAGTTTTAAGTTGTTCATGTTTTATTTTGGAGGAAAGAGATTTGAATTTCTTTTTTTATAATTTTATTTATTTTTTCCGCCCAAAGCCCCAGTAGTTAGTTGTATGTCACAGCTGCACATCCTTCTAGTTGCTGTATATGGGACGTGGCCTCAGCATGGCCGGAGAAGCGGTGCGTCGGTGCACGCCCAGAATCCGAACCCGGGCCGCCAGCAGCAGAGCGCGCGCACTTAACTGCTAAGCCACGGGCCGGCCCAGAGATTTGAATTTCTGTGATTGTTCATTTTCCAGAACACCCTATCTGGCTTCCAGTGGAGGAAGTGTCTTGCAGGAGGATGAGTAGCTACAAAACTGGGTTGGCCAAGAAGGGGCGGGAAGGGGACTTCAGTTAAAACAAGAGAGGTCTATGATACCACGGGACAAGCACATTCCTATGTAGCAGACACACCTGAAAGAATCAGGTGTACATACACAGGGGACAGGGAGGCACCTGTTTGAATCCAAGGAAGGGCTTCAGTGAATGCTCAGGGTCTGACCACACAAAGTAGGCAGGTGAGCACTCAGGTACAGAAGTGACAGGTGAAGCAGACACTGCAAGTGTGGGTCTGCATGTGCAAGTCTAAGAGGTTGAGGAGGAATCAAACACAGCATCAGTGAAGAAAGATAGAAGATGTTCATCCTATTTTATGTGGGTTGTTGGGCATAGTGTTTATCACAGTCAGAGAAGGAAAGAGAGCAGCAGGTGGGCCTTGGCTCTGGTTGGGAAGGGGAGTCAATGCTAGGATCCACTCACATGTGGTTTTTTTTTTTGTGTGTGTGTGTGTGTGTGAGAGGAAGATTAGCCCTGAGCTAACATCTGTTGTCAATCTTCTTCTTTTTGCTGAGGAAGATTGGCCCTGGGCTAACATCCGTGCCCCCCCTTCTCTACTTTATGCGGGACGCTGCACAGCACGGCTTGACAAGCCGTGCGTCGGGCTGCACCTGGGATCTGAACCTGTGAACCCCAGGCTGCCGAAGTGGAGCTCAAGAACATAACCGCTATGCGACCAGGCGGCTCCCACTCACATGTGGTTTTAATCCCCTTCCAGTTGCTTACAAAGTATCCGAATCATACCCTCCCTTCTTCAAATTACCTACAAAATGGAGGGAAGAAAATATTTAAGGCAGCAAAGTACCCATGGCTTCATAAACTGTCCCCTCAAACAATTAACTGGTATTCAAAATCTTGTAATGGATGATTCATTCATTAAATTAAAAAGAGGAAATTAGCAGAATAAACAACAAAATTCCAGAGCTGCCCATGTGAATTTATTTTCATTAGAATATTATGCAATGAAATAATGTGACAAAATAAAAGAATCCTTGAAATGAATTATTATTAACAGGAAAAGTTAAGAGTAAGTAGGGCTTAGCGGTTAAGCGTGCGCGCTCCACTGCTGGTGGCCCGGGTTTGGAACCCCGGGCGCGCACTGACACACCGCTTGTCAAGCCATGCTGTGGCAGCATCCCACGTAAAGTGGAGGAAGATGGCAAGGATGTTAGCCCAGGGCCAGTCTTCCTCAGCAAAAAGAGGATTGGCATGGATGTTAGCTCAGGGCTGATCTTCCTCACACACACAAAAAAATGTTAAGAGTAAGTATTAGCATTAACATGTTTCAAATTTTTCATAAAAGAAAGTAATCCAGAGGGGAAGGGGGTAGGAGAAGGGCAAAAGGGTAAAGGGGCACATTTATACAGTCACAGACGGTAACTAGACTTTTGATGGTCAACACAATGCAGTCTATACAGAAGTTGAAATATAACGATGTACACCTGAAATTTATGTAATGTTATAAACTAATGTGACCTCAATTAAAAAAAACAAAAGAAAAGTAGTCCATTCAGAGTGGAAAATATAGATGTATTTGCTGACCTCAAAACTGCCCATCAGTGTTGCAATAAACTCATAGGAACCAAAGAGGACGCTAGTAATAAGAATTCTGCCATTGATGCTTTCTCTTAAATCATTAAATTGGGAAAAGTGCTAAAATACTGAAGAATAAAGTCTTGAAAGGCAATGTGGCATTAATGAGTCAGAAAAACCCATTAAGCCCAAAGACTTTAGTTGCTCTGTACACATCCTGATACAGACCGGGTTGAGGACATGCCAGGGTGAGTGACACATCTAAGATGGAAATAATTTGAAACGAGCACATTCTCGTGACCTCTGCTGAAACTCTCCCTATGTTCATCTGGTAAAAATCTTTCCCTGCCCTTCCATTCCTTTCCCCCAGAGTCTGTTGATATTAAATTACTAAAAGGAATCAACATCAAAATTGTGCTGTAAATCTACAGTCATAAGTAAATCTGTTACTGAATGAATCACAGCTTAAAAGTGTTGCATCCTTGGTAAAAATAATAAGACATTTAAGTTAGGGGCTATTATTGACATAAATTTGGATTCATCTGTAAATTCAATCATCTTACATATTTACCCTCTCTGCGAGAACACCTTAATTTTAGGATGGACAGAACAAGGGTCACACGGATATGTGTATGTGTGTGTGTGTGTATATATATATGTATATATATATATATATATACACACACACACATAGTGTATACACATAGACACACACACAAGTGTGAGAAAATAGGGCTGTGTCTATTTGTACGTGTGATATTTTCCAAAGGTCAAAATCAAGATTAAAAAGAGAGAGAGAAAGAGAGAAATACAACACTCAGCCTTGAGAGCTCAAGAGCGTTATTGGGTTAACAGCTTAAAAGAGCAGGGGTGGAGTAGCCTTAGTGAAGCAATAGATTGCAAAATAAGCAATGTGCACATCACGATTGGGTGGAAGTAACATCTTTTTGTGAGTACGTCATTTCTGAGTTCCTTTCGTGTCTTGGGAACAATAACAAACTGTTGATTAAAAGAAAACTGGAATAGTACTTTATCAGATAGATTTTGTTGGCTTTTTTGGGGGGGTGGATAGAAGAGGGGTGGGGTTGTTG